TCTTGCGCCTGTTCTCTCCCACTTTACTCTTCCCCCTTCTCGACTCCCGCCCTCCCTTCTCCAGATTTCCGCCTATATATTCCAACTTAATTTTAATTTAAAATTCTTTTCACTTTTCACTTAAATTCCCAAGATGCCAATATTTATGACGGCGCTGTAGAAATTCAAAAAAAGGACATTTGAACTTCTTTACTGCAACAGGCTGGAATTGACGGCCTAGGAGAACATCCTTAAGTGTTTCCTCTTCCTTCAACGGAGGAGAGAAAAATATGCCGACTTTTCTTCCGCTGGCGCCCGAGACAAACGGGGTGGAGTATTTCGCATCCCGGGCGGCGAAAGGGGCAGCCATTAGCTGCGAGGAGAAAATATGACGAGCGAAGACGAGTGGCGGCGGGGAGGGGCTGGCGGGGGCGCATCGCCAGGCTGCTCACGTGCCGAGCTGCGCCGTTTCCGTAATTCGCTCGGCAGCTGAATTAACACGCGTCCAGCGTGGGCGTGGCAGCCTGTCACGCCGCCTTAAGAATAACTGCCAAGCGCCGTGCGGAAAATTCTGTCCGGCTGCTTTAAATACGAGAAATCCCTGAAAGTGTGACGTTTGCGAAACGCACAGAATGCACTTTCAGTTTGCGTATGTTAATGTCGCAAGGGAATGGCAACATATCGGAACAAAACTTGATTTTTTTTTACCCTTAAAGCATGTGAGAAGGAATAAGCACACACAAAATTTCATCTGTTTATGTACATTGTTCATCAAAAACTGAAAACAAATGTTAGAGGCAAGTATATTTGTAGCTTTCATTGGTGGGAGGGATTGTCATCCTTCCGGGGCCGTGATTTTATCGCATGCATGATGGTAGAGCATGAGGTTTGCAACAGCAAAGAATCTCTCTCCACATAGTCCACCAACTAGGTCTATATCCCTTGTAGATGTAAAAGATAAAAATCGATACGCATGGATTCAATTTAATTCTAAAACACTAAAATACAAACGTACATTCGTCATCCTGTAAAGGATTCACCCTTACATCTCACTATGGAGCTCTACTATCTCAAATCCAATTTTGAAACATTAAATAAAATCCAACTTAGTTAAGTGATCCACATTATTTTTAATGTCTTAATTTGCTTTTCTACTTAGGCAACACTTATGTCAGCTTAATTTAAAATTCTAATAAGAATCTATATTATAAGCTGTTTTTTGCAAATTTGTACAATGTTTAATCTTACTAAAACGTTTTTAACATTACATAATCTTTTATAACATTGTGGTCAATTTAAAAAAATAATTGATTCATAAATTGTAGGTAAGGTATTAATTGGCACCATATACCTTGACCAGGAATATTGTATTCTATTCTAGACTTCAGTATTTGTTATTTTCATAACGTGACTGTGATATTTATCATATACCAAATATCATATGTATATTTTGGTATTGAAATGTTTATCTACCTGTGCAAAAAATTAAATGCTCTAAAATAAATGTTTTCTTTGAAAACAGTTGGTATCAAATTTTCTTCTACTCCAGATAGTTTTTTATCAAACATTTTACAGTTCCTTGGTAAATAATTATTTCAGAAAGTTAATGGCAGAATAACACACATTTAAACATTTCTTTAATAACTTATAACAATATATTGTTCTAAGAGAATAATAAACATTAAAATACCATACATGGCATTTTATTAGAACACATCAAGAGACATTACATCTACCTGTGCAAAAAATTAAGTGCTCTAAAATAAATGTTTTCTTTGAAAACAATTGGTATCAACAATTTTTCTACTCCAGATTTTACAGATCCTTGGTTAACAATTCTTTCTGAAAGGTAATGGCATAATAACACACATTTCAACATTGCTTTAATAACGTTTACCAAATTGTAACACTATATTGTTCTAAGAGAACAATAAATATTGAAATAGCATACATAGCATTTTATTAGAACACATCAAGAGACATTAAAATTTTGGGCTATATACAAAACATTAACCTGTCAATCATTATTTAATATCAAACATTATTTAATTAAATCATTAAAAATATCTTGAAAATTTTCCAATATAACATTATCAAGATATTTTAAAAGATATAATTACACTACGTTTTGATTATGCTTTTTAAGTCTTCATGTTATTTTGTAACGTATTTTAAATGTTGTGACATTGATCACAAAACATACATCTCCTGATACTTTGTTTTCATCCAACTCTTTGAAG